AGGAGAGGGTCCCAGCCCGTTACGTAATGGGAAAGACAAAGGCGGGGGTAAGGGCTGGGGGTTAAGCAGCATGGGGACGGGGCGAGGGAGTCTTGCTGTCGCTCAGATGGGAAAGCGCCTTGGAAACTGAGGCAGCCTCCTCCCCCCAGAAACACACGCTGGAAAAGAGGGGGAGCTGCAGGGCGCGAGTGCCTGTTATCTCCCTGTTTTTAAACACTTTGGGGGGGGGTTGTTGTGAACCTCGGCCAAAATCGTATTAAAACCTAACTTGCAAGTTTCTAGGGTTAATCTAAGCAGCCTGTATGCTTGTTTAGTTGTCTTATGAAATCTTTCCTTAAAATAAATTAATGTACTCGGATATTGGGGACTCCAAGGTCCCAGGAAAGAGAGTTTTAACGATGGAAAGTAGTTAAGAGTTACTTCTCTGTCCTTAACCAACTTCTCTCAGAGTCTTTCCTGAGAGGACCTAGAGAAGCAAATGCTAGGCATCCCACTGACTCCTGAGTAGGATAGACTTGGATCTGAATCCCTCTGTCTGAAAGTGCAAGGCTGTGGCATTTAACTCTCCTTTACTGTGGAACCTCCTCTCAGGAAACGGCTTGTCCCCTAGCCCCATGCTCTATGAGCATGCCTGATCCTCATATTTCAAATTGTAATTTTTACTTTGTCTTGTGAAGAAGAAGCCAAGGCTGCAACAACTCTTCAGGCCTCATCTATTAAGTAGGCCTCAGCCAGGCTAAATCCTTTCAGTTGCCCACCTACAGACTGGGATTTTCCTGTTCTATATATTTAAACTAGAGCCACAAGGGAAAAAAAAAACTTGAGCAGTGAGAGGAAAGACTAATCAGACCCTTCTAAGGCACAAACTTATCTTAATGTAAATCTTTCAGTTTTGAAGTGTCTTTATTTTATAAACCACTTTTTAAATCTGAGGTCTGTTTTAATTTCTGGCCTAAAAGAGATTGTAGTAAAGATTGATCCTTTACTTGTACATAATGCAAGCTATAGTATTGTTATATTAAGCCTATTGCAATCCAAATATAAAAAAAAGTATAAATGACATTATAAATTTATGGCACAAACCATGATGAATTATCCATGAAGGTCTCGGTTTATATTTCCCTGCTGACTTTAGAAAAGGCAGTTGTGATGATGCTAGCTCATGTCAGAGCCTTGCTGCTTGTTAGATGGATAGTGAAAGTTTTGACAAGCATCAAACACACACAGGCCTACTTTCCTGATATACATGGCTTTGGAATTAACTGTTATAACATTGGTGACCCTGTTTGACTTCCTTTGCACTTTGAAACAGCTTGAATACATTGTAAATGTCAGTGACATGGTGGTGTTCACAGGACAGTGATGTTTGTTGGACCTGTTTAAATATTTGGCTTCTATGTAGATGTTTTAGTAAATGTTTTTGACTTCTGATAGTTACAATGGGGAGTTTTTCAATGTTCCTTGAAATTAGTTTTTCTGTTCTGATTTGTTGTAGATTTGTGTTTACAAAACAGATGACAAGACAATATTGTAAGACAAAGTAAAATTATGATTGCGCTATCTATTGCACTGCCTTCTTAACAAATTAACACTTTAAAACAAAAGGGACATTTAGTACTTTCTATTGTGGATTCTAGTGTCCTTAAAATGTTCAGCTATATTTATCCTGTATGTGTGTGATTAGTATTCCTAGTAAATTTGAGTCTTTACTCCAATCACTGCAGAGTTGGTTTTTTTTTTTTTTAAATATGAACTTAGAGAATTACATGTTATTTCTCTCATCATGAAAGGATTAGTATAAGTATCATCTCTCTTTTGTTAATTTCTTGGGTTTTTTTTTTAAGCAGAGAGAATTTTCTTTAATGAGGACTAATGGAGTGAAGTCCTTCTTAAACAGTGTAGCAGACAGTGTTTGGAGTAACTCCATTAACTCTTGTCAATCTTGTTTCTCACTGTTACAATACAAACAGAGTTATGTTGCATGAGGCACTTGAGATAATCCATAAAATAGTGGATATGGCTTAACAGATTGAATTACCTGTATGGAAAAAAGACTGATGGTCCATGCACTATAAGCTTTTATACATGCAATCAGTATTTAAATATCTGACTAGATTTGGAATAGTAGAAATAACTTTCTTAAAATGCCTGTGATTGCTTCTGGGCTCCATTGTGTTGAAAATATAAGTTGTGTTAGAAAAATGCTTGTTGCTGTACTCTACAGGACAGATTAGAAAGTTGTCAGAAGAGTTAGAAAGTGAGCCTCCAGGTTTTTGCCAATACAGCAATATCTGGATTCTTAATGATCTTTGAATGTACCTAAAACTGTGTTGAGATGAAGTGCTATGATACTATGGTGATGGAGTACTGAAAAGCCTGAGGCTGACTTGACAACATACTTATACAGGTTGGACCTTCCTGGTCGAGCATCCTTGGAATCTGATCTGTCCTGAATAAGGGAATTTGCCAGATCAGGAGAGGTCCCCTGCCACTGACTTCCCAGGACTCTGCACCTCCCTCCTGCTGGCTCACTCTGCTCCAGCCCTGATGCTACAGGGCTTGGGGCTTGGCTCTCTCCCACTTCTATCAACTAGCTGGGGCTCTCCGGGGTGGAGATCCCCAGCCACTGCAGCTCCGCTTTGGTCCTGCCTGGCTGGGGTTTCCCGGGGATGGGGCTCTACAGGTGCCTTGCTGCTGCCGCACTGGTTTGGAGCTCCCCAGGATGGGGCTTGCCAGTCCCAGTCGTGGGGGCTTTCCAGATGCTGGATTCCTGACCAGCTCGCACTCCCGGGCGCCAGAGCTCTATGTTCTAGCAACATCCATGATCCTGCTGGACCACAGATGCCGCCAGATCAGAGAGTCCTGTATTTAGAAAGTTAAACCAGTATCTTATTCAGCTAAATCATAACAGTTTTGTGTGTTGTGTAACAAGTTGTGTAACTTGCTTGCAGACTAGTACAGGGATTCTCAAACTCTTTCATAGCTTTGGTTAAAACTTAATATAGATACTGTCTTGTGGGCAGCTTCCCTTCCATTTGCAATTCCTTAATAGACCTGTGGAAACTAGAGCAATTGCTTACATGAAAAAGTAATATTTGAAAACACAAACAGGTGTTTAGCTTCTTTCAACTTGATTCAGCAGATGGGAATAGTGGGGGATCCAGTGTCATGTGACTAGGCAACTCTCTGGACCACCAGCAAGTGCTCCTAAGATCACAGACTGGGAATCTCTTTATTATCAGTAAAAATATTGGATCTGCAAAGCTTCGTTTGTGTGGAATGGACCTGACAATTGAAAATGTTGTTGATCCTTCAAAGCTTTGCTGAAACTTGCTTCTATAGGAGTGTGTGTGTGTGTGTGTGTGTGTGTGTGTGTACGTACACACACACCAGATTTATGCTAAGCACGTTAGACACCCCAGGACAAGATCCCTGCCTCCCTAAAGTTTCCTGTTTAAAGCCTTGTTACTGAGTATATGGATGAGGCCTGCTGACATGGCATAACTGGATTCTGTGCTATAAAGAAGACAGCCTAGACCCAATCTCAGTTTTGCTCACCTCACTTGTGGGAATAATCCTTTTGATCTTCATGGTGTTCATATTTGTTTCAAGAATGATTTGGCCCTTATATTTTGTGTTTTCTAAGGCCATGTCTCTGCATACCAGAGTTTCAACGCTCTTGCAGTCACTCTTCTGGGGTTTGATTTAGTGGGTCTCCCATCAACCTCCTATTGTGGAGACAGCACTAAGCTCGCTTAAGGTACGTTGACTCCAACTACATTATTTATGTAGCTGGAGTTGTGTACTTTAATCTGACCTCTCTCCCCCTACAGTGTAGATCTGGCCTAAGTCAGTGTATGCTAGAGGTGCTGTAGAGATACTGTAGTACATTCAGCTGGTAAGGGGTTTGGAATGCTTTGCATTGCTTGGCAGCAACCCCCTCCAAACACTTCAGGAGCTGTGTTTACTTGACTAGAGAAGTCGAGTGGTTAAAAAGCCAGGCCTCTAAGGTATGGAGTGTAGAGAGAAGAGCATCTGAGGTAAGTTCAAACAGGAATGCAGAGAGCCTGGACATTATTTTTACTTTTTAAATCTGTACTTTTGGTTCCATTGCATATACTGCTGCTGGTAACTTTTCTGAGCTACAGCAGACTGAAAACTGACCAGTTCTGTCAGATCCATTGCTGCTGTTTAGAAGCAGCTAGGCAATAGTGAGATGATCACAAACCATGTCAGCTTTGACAGGGGAGGAAACCAAAGAAAGAGGTGGGAGAGGGACAGGAGAACACACATTTCCCTCCTAGTTCCTTTGTATTGGTTAAGAGGCTGAGGCAAGGGCAGAGTAGAATAGCTTGAGTAGAAGAGAAGGAAACGGTGAAAATATGCTTTTCTTCTGCAGCAGCCAACAGATGTTTGTTAGACACCTCATTGGAGGATAGCATGAATGGTGGAGCTACAAGCCGAATCTAGAGACAACAGGTAGATAAGAATCCCAGTTCTCTCCAATTTCCACTAGTGGGATGGTGCTGGATTTCTCATCAGGGCAATAGATCTCCATGTTCTTTGTATTGGCTTCTGGGCAGGTAAATTTTGCATAACTTTGTAGTGACTGGCAGTCCCTATAACAGAGGTCCTTCTAGCCATGTGTATAAAATGAGTTCCATATGATATCTGTGCTCACAATTGGCCCTGAGACACACAGTTATCAACAATCTCAGCAGAGTTCCAGGGAATGAATTAGCATGGAGGCTTAATTTCCCCCTCCTTCTCTTCTTTGCCTCTTGCAGGGTTGATGACGTGCATCTCCAGAGAATTTACAGATTACTTTACCAAAGCAGTGATAGATGTATGTATTGTTGTGGTATTTGCCTAATAGTGATGTTAGAAATAACATCTGTTTGCATCACCAGAAAGAG